TATTCCTCTGCTAAGAAGTGTGCATCCCCATCCACGTTTTCTATCTGTGAAGGTTCTTCTTTGAAATTAAATTGAGACCATAACCAACATGCCTCCCAGTGCTGCCTGAGGTTTCACTCAGCAACAAAGCAAGGGCTTCTTTTCATCATTCATCACATTTGAGTTCAAGCACCAAGAGGTACTTTTTACCAGTGGTGAAAATAGCTTTCTTTTCACAGCAGAAACACAGAAAATGATCTTCCTTTCGATGCTAACCGAAGGATAACGCTTGTGCTACAGTCCGCACCAACCTCGCCGGAATCTGGCTTTGTCGATGGCGTGGGCTTGCACCAGGAAGATGGGCAGTGACGAGAGAGAGCATGAAGCGGCGGCTTTATGGATGCATGTGAATAATTAAAACAGAGGCACATTTTCGAACAGGAATCTCGTCCCATTTTTCTTTGAGCTTTTAAAGTGCCCACTGGATCCTGCCTTCTCAAAAGTAAGTTAAGGTACAATCCTTCATGCAGTCAGTCAATCAACCATCAACCCAGCTTCCTGACTCAGACACCTTCAGTGGTGTTTTTGTTAAACACAAGTCCCTGGCCAGACTTCCTTCCTAGCATACTCTTGCTCACCTCTCCCCGGGCACTGTGCTCCATTTGCTATGTTCTCTACTGCTGTTTTGATGGTGCCTGTGCTTTCTACATGAATGGTTTTTCCCCCCGCTCTGCCCTGTCTGAAGGTATTTCCTCCTCCTACCAGGATATGGCTTCCATCTTGGCCCGCTGAAATCCCACTCAGCCTTCAAGGCGCATCTTAAATGCCAGTAACACCATGCGGTTTCCCCCTATCCAACTGCAATCTCTTCCCTTTCCAAATACATTTTAATTTTCTCAGGTCAAAAAAAAAGCAAAACAAACAAACAAAAAAACTACACACACACAACCACCACCTACATTTGTTCTGTCTTTTTGCTGGCACACTGATCATTCTGTTTGGTGGGTACCACTTCCCAGTGCAATAACAACAGAAAAAATTAGGGCTCCTTAAGTTAAGGATGGCTTATTATTGTTTGAACTTCCACCATGGAAAAGTTAGAATATATACAAAGTAAACAGAAGGCCTTGTTTATTTTTGCATCTCCTTTGGGACCTATCACAGTGTTTTGCATGTAGCAGAAGTAAATTTAAGTAATTAGGGCCGTAGGCAAATGGAGCTGTCTGCATATCTAGCTCCCCGTTTCCTAGACGGTTCAGCTTTTCCTTGGTAACACACTGGCACACACAGCCTCATACCTGTAGGATCACCGCCAGTGTGGTTTAAGCCCTTTGGCCAACTTTAAAATTCAGGGAACGTGTTTATCCTTAAGGTTACTTCAGACAGCCGGCAAAGCTAACTGTATTTGAGGGGATGAAGAGAAAAATGTATACGGTTAAGAACAGTTTCTAAGAGAATTCTCATCTGGTTGTGTATCTGTGTGGTGTGCCCAGCAAGGCACATTTCTCCTCGCTGTGCAATATTTGATGGATAACCTACAAATCTGAGGGCTTGCTACACATAGCAGAATTAGTTTTTCTTCACCTTATTTTATTAACTGATACAAATTTCACTGAGATGTCTTCCCCTTCCCAAAACCTCAACCTTGGATTCTGAAGTCTACTATTTTAGACACTTTTTAAACATACCTCGAGTTAGCCCCCAAATTTATGCTATTAATATGCGTGTATCTACTTTGGGGGCAGAAATGAAATCCTTAAAGCAAAACCAGAATTCTAGAATGAAAGATTCCACGCCCAAGCTGTGTCATATCCAATTAACTCAAATTGACTGTACACTGCATTATTCAGTTAGTGCATGGAAGATCAATAAACATGGGGAAAACCCACCCAGCTCCCCACTTTCCCATCCGATTCTAGAAGGCTGAGGCGGATCATGCTGCTGTGCTGTGTGTGCCACAGCCCCGGCAGGCAGGTGGTGCATAGACACCATTCAAATTTGGCCTATTGAATCCCAACTCCTCTAACTCACCATTCATGCATAGCAAAACACCATCTGGTCCTATTTTGCCTCCAGCAATCACAGCTGACCAAAAACGATAATAACAGCTGTTGCAAAACAAAAGCCAAACAAAGGGGGTGGGGGTGGGGGAAGGAAAGGTTAGATCGAAGTCCAGTGTTGAAAAATGCTCCGTAAAGTGAGAACTGGGAAAGAGACCATTCAGACGCCCGCAGCCCGCCGAAGGCACAGGGCAGAGGACTTCTACTTAAACTTGAGATATGAATCCATCTGTCTAGAAAGCCTTCCAACCTCTGTCAGGTGGTAATGTATCGCTGATATTATGCCCCACGAAGGCATTTAAGCTTTTGTTCCTGGAGTAGGGAACTAATGACCCCATTGTCGGCTAAAAAAACGAAAACTCCTTATGCTCTTTCATCACAAGGCAGTACAGGTTAATGCAGAAAAAGAGAACGCGTTTAGCCAGAGTAATAAAGTAATGTGCACACAGCAGGGGGAGCGAGAAGCAAAGGTAAGCCTGATGCAGGTGGAGGCGCGGGAAAGCCTTGTTAATGACCGCAGGCCACTTAGGGGAGAAGGCATTTAGGTGGCCCACTAATCACATGTCCCATTTTCACGCATATTTTTCATTACCTTGATTTATTTCTGACCTGTAACCAAAAAAGTACACCAAGCATTTACCACGTCTTCGAAACAGGAACCAGAGCCACGCGTATGAGCCGAAATACAAGTGGATTTACAATATTCTTTGGCGAAGCCCGAGAAAGATCATCTGATGCCAAGGTTGGGGGAATTCTTTTCACGATTCAAGGCGTTTGATGTTTTAAATATATAGTTGTGCCTGATGATTAATTTTTGCAACCGTAGTAACTGAACTATTTTTTTTTCCTTGAAATTGACCATCGGTGGTTTAGCGGCGTTTAATCAAACATGATAAAACCCAAGATTTTAAAAATCATCTATGAGATGTTCCAACACCTGCTTCTAACTGCAAACAGTTGAAAACAGACTTCACTTGCAATTAAGTCTTATCACTAGTGACATTTTTTTTCCAAGCAATACTTCATGGGTTTTCAAAATGACAATTACAGAACTAATACACAATTACTGTCACATGTAGTTTAGCAATTAATTTTGAAGACATTTGTCTAAAGGTTTCACAACAGAATATAAAATGGTTCTTATTGTTATGTAACGTTAGTTTCAATTCACAGAAAATCTTTTACCATCAGCTCTGCTTCTTGATGGGTCTGATGCAAGCAGATTATTTCTTTGTGGAATACAATCGCCCCCTTGTAGATGTGATTAGACATCAAAGACTGTTTGAACACTGATACCTGTCAACTAATGCATCTTATGAAAAGCTTCAATTTAGACATAAATTTTTCTACAGCAAGAAATCTATAAATTTATAATTAGAATCTCTTGCTGTTCAATATTTGTACATAATACAGAGTACGAGAGGATTATGAAATATTGAAAGCTGAATTCATTATTTATAGCCCGCAACATACAGTAAATATTCTTTGAAATACAACAACTTTGAGGAATCCATATTGCCTCGTTTTTTGAATGTCTCGCACACGGTAACCAGGGACAGTACTTATCACCCCCTCATTTTTTTTTTTTCCAGATTAGGATTCTGGTCAGGGTTGACACTTGCTGTTTTTAATTTTCATTTTATCATAAGCAGTTTAAGACTGTTGCCAGTGGTAATTTGCAATTTTTATCAAGACCTCTTCATTATAGCTTCTGACACGACAGATGCTGTAATTAATCATGCAAGACAACTGGGGACAGTGGTCACAGGGTTCTCCAACAGGAGCCACCGAAGACCAAGAAGAGGGGGTAAGAAATGGGCACCGAAATAATTATTTTGGCTTAAGAATTAGTATTCATCATCAGTTTTAAGAGCAAATAACAACACCATGCCAGCTACTTCTCGCCCCATTACAGACGACAACCTCCCCTATACTCACCTTGCCTCTTGGCATCTTAACGAAAAGATAATTACGAATATATTTTTAATGCTTTGTCATGCCTTTTTTCAGGGCCCTGGCTTGGGGCGATGCCACCTAAATTCTTAGCTGCGAGTATCATGTTTCCAGTGGAAAGCGGAAGACGATGTTGGGCTCAAATAAAAGTTGGTTACGTGGCCTATCTCCCCAGCTGATACGTATTCAAGGAACCAAAAGTGAAATGTGACATAGCATTTTATTTGAAAAGTGAACAGTTTCCTGGTTGTAGCATCAAAATACAGTCCACAGTTTTTACTGAAAGGTGTTTATTCTATAGCAAGATAAAAGCATTTTTGTTTTAGTTAAGCAAAATACAAACAACTTAATTGCTGCTATCGTAACTCATAAAAAAGTATAAAACAGCATAAAAACACAATAAGCAACGTAGCAATGAATGGTTCATGTCACCAGTGTTTACGTTAAAGCCTCGTTTATGAAAACTTTACAACACGTGTTATGAAAACTTACAACTTTGAAAGAAAATATTTACATTGATTATTCGGATGTGGTGCACCTCTTAAATATTCCACCAGTATTACATCATAATAAAAACTCTTGTTTTCTTTTAAATCTTAACTTTTGTAATAACTGTTTTCATTTAAGTTCATTTCCCTTTTAAAAATACAGTGTTTTTATTTTTCGAAACGTGTCACTCAAAACACAGAATATAATATTCACATTCTTTTCTCCTAATTGGAATGAGTATGATGGGCTAACAGTGCTCACAGATATTGTTACAACATGTAGGGCGGTTTGATTTGGAGAAGTCATGGGTACAAAGTGGAAATGAATCAATAATTGGATCTAATCACTTGCTTTTTTTTTTTTTTTTTTTTTTAAACTAGGATAACGTGTGGGCTCATTAACACAAAAGCTCATTCAGAGCAACCACTTGTGTATGTTAAATGGCAAATTCAAATCTCTTTCACTATGCGTAAAATCTCTGTCTGTGATTTACATTATTTTTTTCATGACAAAAAAAATGCCATCAACTATTCATGTCATACAAATGATTGTATGAAACTGGGTCTTCAAATTTCAGGTAGTTAGAACTGTGCTTTTTATGTCTAGGGTTTCGGAAGTTCAAACAGCCTCGAAGTGAGGTCTCTTCACTTCTGGAGAAATAAGGCCGTTTCTCATGACTCAGAGAGACCAGTTTACAGTCATCGGCATGTCCCAGGATTCACAAAACGGTCTGATTCACATATTGTAGGTCTAGCCTGAATAAATAAAAAAGGCATCACATAAAAGAGCACAGCTTTCCTTGTTTAAAAACAAAGTGGTTTAGAGTCAGCTAAAAGATGATGCTAGCTACACTGCAGTTCTTATTGCCTATCTAATAGACACTCGAGAGGACCACGTGATCTGTTACACATTCCTGCATAACCCACACCGACTCACAAGTCTCGGCCACAGATGGTTTACCCTCCGCTCGCCTTCGCGCACGCCAGTCCGTCCGCCACGTGCGTCTTCAGAAAATACTGACCTGTGACAATACTTGAGTCTGTGTCTGAGGCTGCTGAGCGGACGGCTGGGGGCTCCCGATGGCCGGGATGGGGGACGTCATCTGAGAGGTGACGGGGGAGTGCTGCCGAGGAGAAGGCTGAGACGGGTGCTGCATGTGTTGCAGCTGCTGCAGCTGGAGCTGCTGCTGCAGCTGCTGCTGCAGCTGCTGCTGGCTGATTTGCTGCTGCAGCTGCTGCTGCTGCTGTTGCAGGTGCTGCTGCATGTGGTGTTGAAAATGCTGCTGCTGCATCTGCTGCTGGATCTGCTGATGCATTTGGTGCTGCTGCATCTGCTGCATCTGCTGTTGCTGCTGCTGCTGTTGCTGCTGCAACTGCATCTGATGCTGCTGGGTTTGCAGGGAAGGACTCACCTGGGCGGAGGATGCGGAGCCCACCATGGTGGTGCCCATAGAGCTGATCAGCGGAGCCCCAATGTTCGATGGCATGTTGGCCGCGATGGTGACTGATGTGACAATCTGGTTCATGGGCAGTCTCATGGTTAAAGGCTTGGGAGCGATTGACCTAGGGAGCGACTGTTGCAGAGTCTGAGGTGAGGCTGATACTGTTCCATGCTGAGAAAGAGGAGGGTTGAGGAGGAGGGAGGATGTCAGATTGGTGGACGCCAGGGTCTGCTGAACAGAACGGATGGTCTGGGCTTCTGCAGATTCGGCAGCAGCCTGCATTGGGGGGAGAATAGTCCGAAACGTTGAAATACACGCGTATTTAAAATGTGGAGGTATTTTTAAGTATTACAAATGGCTTATAAAAAGCCCACTGTCACGGGACGTTTTAGCTCATCCCAGAGGTGGAATCAAACCCCCCACCTCTCGAATCTCGGCTGGCCTTGCACCTGTGCTCTGAGCAACAGAATGTGGTGAAAGTGAGGTCTCGAGAGGCCTTGCACTCCTCCCACCGCCTCCCTTCCTCTCTCTCTCATCGCTGCCACGTGTGCGACGACAGACACGTGTCCCGGTTACCCCTCTCTCAAGAGCCAGCTTACTCTCGTGTATGTCAATGAGTCCAGCTCCATCTCCCAACTCCCCCACCTCCAGGACGGCCGCAGACAGATGAGCAGAACTAGCTGTTCCTGTCCTGTCTGGCCTAGATCTGGACAACCAAGCCAGCTAACTAGCACTCCCTGAGGGAAATCCTCATCTTTTTAAGCCCCTAGGCTTTGTAGCTGCTTGTTACGCAGCACTACTGTCGCAAGATAACCGATACACATATTTAAAGCAATAATTCTTCAGCATTGAAGTCTCAACTAACCTCGCCACCAAATATTGACAAAAGAGTACAGACTGCCTGAGTTCAAATCTGCCTCTACGACTTTATAACTTTGTGATGTTGCTCAAGTTAATTCACTCATTTGTTCCTCGATTTCCTTATCTATGAAATAGGTTTTATGGTATTTGCCTTGTGTAGGATGTGTGACGATTAAATTCATTTATATGTGTGAGGCATTCAGAACAGTGCCTGGTCCATGGGAAGCCTTAGTAAATGTTAGCTATTTTTATTAATTAACAACTATTACTACCAGAGAATTACTGGTACTGGAAAACTTTAAAGCCCTGTATTTGCATGATTGTTTATAACAGTGATCACTTGAATATAAGAAAAATAACTGAATTCCTTAGAGATCGGTCGCCAAACAATTTCAAAGATTTCCAGAATTTATCAAAGCAGTCACAGGTAAGTGGAGAACGTTCAACACTCAGGTGACAGAATAACCTGTTGTTAAGATCAACAATCGATCTGGGGCTCAACATGGAGAGAAACTACCTATTACGTAACTACCTTTGCAAAGATCGAGCTTTTAACTAATGCAACAGTGACTGCGACGATTCCTCTTAAACCATTTACTCTTCTTCTTCACAAAACTGGGGTTGCTAGAGAGGGTGGGTAATGGGAGCACACAGAGGCATTAAACTGATACCTGCTCTTCTAAAATGACTTTTGAATGTTTCCTTCTAGATCTTTATTACTCAGACTTATAAAATATACTATTAGAAGGAACCTGAGAAGTGACCTTATATGGAGAGTCACTCGACGTAGGAACAGCCATAGTCGATGGCTTCTGTTCGAACACGTTATCACTGAATATTAAGCCTCCGCTCATCCTTTTGATTGTTGTGAAGATTAAAAGTGATAGCAGAGTCACATCGTAAGAGACCGGGTCCTCGGCTCTGAATGCAGAAGTGTGAGTTCTACGCACACGTGATGCGACCCCACTTGTAATTTCTGACGTGGAAGCTGAAATCCTATTTCCTGTGGCCTCGCTCCTTGGAAGAGTTCCTTCATTATCTAAGGCACAGAGATGAAACTCCCTCACGTGACGGCCTTCGCATTTGAGGATCAACATCGTCTGCTCCCAAATCCTGCTCCCCCGATTCTTTCAATTATTTGAACACGATTTGATTTTTAGTTCTCGTCGTCATGCAGGCAACCCTCTGGAGGGCCTCACACTGGGCGCCATTCCTCCTTAAACGGTGGGGTCCCCACACACAACCAGCTCGTCCGATGAGGGCCAACCATCACGCTGTCCAACTAGATGCCGCTTCTTGTGAGATGACCATTATTAGCAGCTGTTTCACCCTTCTGATTCAGGTTGACATTATTCTAAATGTATATACCTCAAGGACTATTTCGGTTGCTAGCCAGGTCTCTGAATATAAATTTAAGATGCCCTCAAAATGCGCCTACTTGAGGAAAATACAATCGAGAAACGAATGAATGCGCAAACCATCTTTTAGATTTATTCTTTTAACATTCCATTCTCCTGGTGTTTCGGAGTCACTGGATTCCACTGAGAAATATTTCTGAATCCTGTTGAGAGTATCCAAAGACTTGATGAGCCCAACCTTGGTCACTATTTCCTCAGTGCCTTTTGAGTTATGGGCTCTTGGCTGAAATCCACGTGTGCTCAATTATTCATGCTCTAATGCACAAAGATCACCTCTACCTGCTTCTGGGTAAATGAATGAATAAACGATCCACTTAAGAAGTTCAAGCACATCATTACTCTGTTCGTGTCACTCTATCTCATTAGCCATCGACGACTTCTCAATTCTTAATATCTGTAGGCCGCACGTTCGGTTGTTTCCTGCTAATGAAAACTCCGAGGCCAGAATCGGTACACCATCTTTCAAGGTGTGTCTCACAGAGTCTCAGAAAGAGGTTTTACTTATTGACCTGAAAGTTCCTCTTTCTAACGAAGTGGAAAGTGTCCTACACGCTGACAAAGACAGCGGGACCTCTCTCGCTCTGATTCTGAGTAGCTGCCAACAGCAGATCTCAGCATAAAGAAGAAACAGCTCAGCCGAAAAAGGGAAAAAGGGAGAAACCCATTGAAAATGGCTTGGCAAGCGACACCCACCATGCCCTACGGGGTACCATAGGCCACAATAAAAAGGGATCTCTACCTGCCAGAGGACAAAACCATCAAGAACAAAACCATTAGTTCAAATGATCCCCCCCAAAGCCTCTCCAAATTCCAGGAAGGCTTAAAGACAAAGTTAATTAAATGTTAAAATAAGATAATGTAATAGCTTGGGCTCTTTTTGGATCAAGGTGATGATAATCTAGAGTGACATTTGCTTTGGGACATGGGTGTGTTTCATAATACATCAGGGTCCATTGCGTACTCTGTGTATAATACATATACGTGTCTTCTTTTTTTTTCAGTACTTGGAGCATCACTTTATTTTAAATAATCATGAAGTTTACTTATTTATATGATGTGGAACAGTTTGGTCAAAAATGCAATCTCCCCGGCTGCAATAATGTAACCACTGGAGAAATTTATGATAGGATGTCTAAACATGCCTGACAGACACGCCTCCCAGTTTAAGTGGAAGCCATAACCACACATTTGAGTCCGTGATGAAAAGAAAAATTAAGAGGCTATTTAAAATTTGTCTAAATAGATTCAACACACGCACACAGAGATCAGTGAATCTTTTGGAAACGATTCTGATTCAGCGGCTTAAATTAACTCTTATTTTTTACGCCATCACAACAGGAATCTCTTGTGGAAACAAATAAATGGATGCGTTCGTTGTTCAAGACGCTCGTTTGGTCAACTCTAAGGAGAATTGCATTTGCGTTTTCAATGCTCTGGGGCTGTTTCCAACATTCGAACTAACTCTCAGAGACCGGCCCGCTCTCGCTCTCGGGGGCGGGGGCGGAGAGGCTTACCTTAGAGACCAGGCTGGCCCTGTATGCAGCCAAGGCCTTCAGGTATTCCTTTTTGGCAGCTTCTGTTTTCCTTTTATACACCTATTAAAAGACCACAATTAGCACCACTGTTAGCACAGAAATTCTGAGCCATAAAATAACTGTTGTATGACTTAGGTCACAGCAAAACTCACATAAAGAGTCGGTCTCGGTGGCTTCGATTTTTAAGCGTAAACACACATACACACACACTACATCAAAACAAAACAAAACCCATTCGCCCTCACTGAAGAGCAATTTTGATGTTTACGATTGCAAACGAGAAAGTGTTTCAGGTTGCAGCATACATTCCTTCAGAGTAACAGCTGAGGGCCTCATGCGAAGGCAGAAAATAAGGTAGCAAAAAGAATGAAATTTGCTACGAATGGTTTAAATTAGAGAAAGTAACGCGTTTCTCCATCAATGTCTTCTCTCCCTCACACACAGTTCTAAACTGTACCAAATCGGAGAATTAAAACACCACCACCAACAGGTAGGGTGTATGAAGACAGGAGGAAAAAAAAGATGGAGGCCTCTGGACCTCGGTTTTCTTCTGGAGAAGCAAAAAATCAGAAATCGTATAAGATGGGAGGTTTTCATTAGTGAGACCAGTGAGTTATACATGTACTTCTCAGTATATTAAACATGACTGGGGGTTCTTTTTCTAACGGTGGCCTGATGCCGGTGTTAGACAAAGTACAACTCTTTCTCTCTAAAGTTTAAAAGTTAGATGCTGCAGTTAAGTCCCTTAGGTTACGTTTCTGGGATAGAAAATCAGTCTGCTTCATAAGAGCAACTCGCTCACCGCAAACAAACAGGCAAATTCTGTAGTCACACCATCCCAACAAAACCAGCGAGTAAAAATGAGTTGGTAAAGAAAAAAAAATCCAGGGCTTTCCATTCTTCAACCCTGAAACAATTACTCTGTGTTATTACTAATCAGGTCTATCCTGCGGAGAATGTGTAAAGTTAACTCCTATTCATGGTCACGGGACTTTCATGCAAGGAGTAAGGGGAGGATGGACCCCCCCCAAGGAAGCCATTTTTTTCCTGCACTGTGTGGAGTGGCATGAAGGACGGAGGACAGCAGACCAGGCCCCACAGAGGCATCTCAAACCAGCATGGCTCATCTCTCAATACTTCTCACACTGCCGGGCTTTCAAATGAACTTGGAATACAATTTCAAATGCCCGGTGACAGTAATGAGACGCGCAGAGGTGGCTTCAAAGTTTGGAAACCCACCAGGACGGCACAAGGGTTCAGAAAGATGATCAGAGGAAAGGCAGGCGGGATGGACCCAATCGCTCTGTAGTGCCCGTTCTGAACGGAAGGAGCGAAACTTCCACCTTCTTTAAAATGAAAACATTATCATCAAAAGTTATTGCTTGCAGGATACTGCCTGGATGCCCTCCAACTCTCCTCCGAATGGGTTGTGAACACGCACCCTTAAGGGGACTGAAAAATCCATGTAATCGGAGAGTGGTTTGGCTTGATAGGTGTGTGCGTTTTCATTCCATAGCTTAGAAAGGCCTGCCTGAGCAGCGGTCATATGCAGCGAATGTATCCGCTCAGGAAAGGTGTAAGGAACACTACACGGGTAGCCTTTTAATAGGAGGTGGCCGAGATGGCTCTTTGCCTCACCTGCTTTTGTTCTTCTCCGAGGCTGTCCCACATAGACGCTACGATCTTGGACACCTCTCCAAAGGTAGCGTTGGGGTTTTGACCTTTAATGGCGGCCTGTGTGTCTCTGAAAAACAGGGCGTATGCTGACACTGGCTTCTGGGGCTCGTTGGGATCTTTCTTTTTCTTTTTCTTTGGAGTCTTGGGCTTCTTGCCAGAATCTGGAGCAGCTCTTTTCTCTCCAATGGCCTGCAAGGTATGAAGAAAATTCACTGCCTAGAATGTATGTGCAGAGAATGTAGCAAGACTTAACTCAAGTCCACAATTGTTCCTTTAAGGGTTGATGAGGCGGCATCAACAGATGAATCCCCACCGAACATGAGGGAGGGGTGAATTTGCTTAGTTAACTGGACAGCAGAGATTAGCATTTAGAACATTGATTAATGAGACCCAGAAGTATCTTCAATACATTCACAGCATATGCTCTAAATAGCAATTATGAGTAATGAAAAACAGAACACTCTGTACCAGGCGACGTTATATATATGCTAGGCCACATATGTATACATAAACAAAAGGTTTTGTAATTTCGGAAGTTTTAGACATGAACCTAAAAAATATTCAGGATGTTGATCATATTCAGCTATTTTAAATGAGGTCTCTTGTCATAGTCACATGCCATACGTATGATCGGTCTATACTGATTTTTTGAGGCTGATTTTCTGTTTTACCAGAATGTTGCTTTGCTGATGTGTCTCCAGAAACTCAAATGGAAATTAATTAAAATCCCTGAGCTTGCACAATAACGGTAAGGCCATTTTTATTTTCTAAAACAATAACTTTAGAAAATAGGACAACGAGAAATGTAAAAGCGTCAAAACTCCTTTAACCGGGGAAGAAAGGAAACTGATGTTCTTCACAAAATCGAAAACCTGTAATAGAGTAATAGCTGATATTTAAACTCACCAAGGCTAAAAAGACTAAGAAGATATTCATTGCGTATGGTAAGTGAGCCCACCCAGAAGAATACGGGCGTAGAGAGCTCGTACAGCGCTCCATCCGCATCCATCAGCTCTGTGAGCTCCAGACTCACCTGCCACCATCATTTAATTTCAATGATCATAAAACATGCTTATCAGAGAAGCAAGGGAGATGATTCATCAACCTTGTTTCATCCCCCTAGATTATAACAGGACTATAGTGAACGTATTTTTGCAGTTAACTTCATCGACAAAGGTCGAAGTGTTTGACAAAATGTGTTTTAAAAGCCAGCCTTGGGCAAGATCAACAGAGACAGATTCAAGTTACTAACAGATTGGCTTTTAATGGCCTTGAGACTTAAATCCTAATGTCGATTTTCCAAGAGTATCATTCCTTTCAGAACCAGGGACATTTGGAACTTAATCCAATTATTAAAATTCTTAGGGAAGAAAGGGTAAATAACTTGTCTTCGAGAGCCCAGAACTCACAAGGTTTGGGGAAACCAGTGGTCTCCTTCTAGGTAGACTTATTTTTTGTACTATTTGAGTGATAACAACATCCGTACTTTATAATTTACATACTTCAGATGGGGGTTAAGCCATACCTCACCTCTCTTCCCAAACGCCATCTTTCCTAACTCACACAATTAATTTAATTTTACAGACCTCGTAGTCTTTTTTCTAAATTCTCAGAATAGGTAAGACTTGTTTAATTCTAGTTAATGAACCTGAACTTGCAAGGAAGTCAGATGACTTTCAATTAGAGCGTCAACTGGAGCCAAGTTTTCCTTCAATGAAAAAATATTGCTTTCGCCACAAGAAACAAATATAGACATAGATTTTTCTAATTGAGTCAAACATCTATATTCTTTTCCTGGAAGAAAGTTCGGCCCTGTTTGCACCAAAAATAATACTCTGACCACTGACAACATGAAAGCAATTTCCAGGGCAGCTTTTTCCAAATAAGAGGAGTTCAATTTCATTCTCTGTAAAACAACATTCAAATGTTGACAACCTTTGGACGTCTTTCTTGGATAAACTTGACTTGCCCCAATCATCACTACCTTTTAAGAACAAGCTAGAAATGAAGACTATCTCACAGTCTAAACAAAAGCTCAGAATTAATTCTCCTAAAGAATCTTTTCTGTAGTTGACTCAAAAAGGTTGGGAAAGGTGGAGAAATAGCTTTTTCTAAAAGAGACATGATCAACATTAAAGTTAATCTTCCTTTCTCGGGTAAGTTGCTTAAAAGGTTACAAATTAGATTCCTTGTCTTTACACGAAGCCTAAGCCCTCGCTTAAAATGGAGCAAGCCGAGTCGTCACAGAAAAGGTTCTCTGAGACATGACGACTTTCAGATTGGTACAGAGGTCAGTATTGAGATCAGTGGAAACGTGAAAGGTGTCCATCTGAACTCTGTAATCACCATCTATAACTCAGCTGTGCCTTATTCACATCCTTGAGTTGCTTTCATTATAATTTCTCACTTCCTCTCATTGAAGTCCTTGTGAGTTTGAGCGGGCCGTTGGTGCATTTGCCCACCCGTGTCTAACGGGGTGCCAACACGATGCCATGGATTCAACCCTCTCTGACATCCCTACAGCGTGACGCTCACCTCTCTTCCCTTTTCTTCTTCTCAGTCTTCTCTAGCTTCTCTCCTTCCATGTGCTACTTAGACGTAAGTGATGCTCAGGGTGCTGGCTTTGACGTGCCCCTTGCACACTGAGAAATCCCCATGGCTTCCACGCTTCCACATCTATGTGCTGATGGTCCCGAGTCCATATATAGTTCCACCTCCAATGAACTTAGACTCAAGAATGAGCACCTCAAATTCATGCCAAAGTCTTATCCTCCCCATGGGGGAAAAATAATCCTCTTCTCTCTCTGGGTTGGTCCTCCTAGCTACTGACACCCATGCTCTCGAAAGAAACCCACGTGATCTTCTATTTCCTTCAGATTCCAGTGGATCACCAAAACTTGATGATTTTCCCTCTTACGTGTCTCACGAATCTGGTACCTCCAGTCCATTCTTTTCTTTACTAAAAGGAAACACTTCATAAATAAGGGGTCTTCTAATTGGTTTCCTTTTTTCCAGTCTCTCCTTATGTACTGTCTTCTACATACAGCTGAAATTAGCTTTTCAAAGAATGGATCTGCTTAGGCCATCGCTCCACGCAAAGTGTCAGCTCTCAAACACCAGCGGGAGAAAGTCTACCACATTTCGGCCATTTCTTTCTTCGACTCCTATTTCTTTCCTCCCAGACTGTTCATGATACCCATGAATCGACATGTACTTCCACTGCTCCCTCTGCCAGCTTCTCTCTTCTGCCTCACCAACTTTTATGTACTCTCTTAGACCTAATTCGGATATCACCGTCCCAATAAAGTCTTCCTCAGATCATTCTCAAGCAGAATCGATCACAACCTCAGCCCGCCAGATGCATCCATTATACCACTAATCACATTTGCAGCTAGTTTTCAACACTGCTCTTCAGCCCCAGTGGGGAGTCCCGTGGATAGTAATTCTCTTGTAAATCTTTATATTACCAGAACCAAGTAAAATGCCAAGCAGAGTGGGTACACAGTACATAATTAACGAATAAGAAATGAGTAACCGAGTGCCCAGAATAAGTAACTTTAATGAAACAGAACACTTTTCTAGGCATTCAGAAAAATCATAGCTGCAACTAAGTTTTTATTTCAAACGGTCTATTTAAATAATATACATTTCCACGGCAAAAGCAAAGACGTTAAAAACAATTAGAACTTACTAAGCAATAAGCAGCATGGAAGGGGCAAGACTACCAAATGTGGCAGCTGTCCGGCCACGTGACTGGACGAAACTCACCCATGTGGACAATAACTCAGAACCAGAGCAGAGTTTAGGGTTACTGGTGAGTCTTCTGCAACCTCCCCTTCTGCAGATTGGGAAAATTAGGCCTACTAAGGTTAAACGATTCGCTCAAAGCCTTACAACTAGTAAAAGCCAGATCTCCCAATTTCCAGTAGAACGCACGTTTCACACAAAATAAGTGAAAAGAATGAAGAAAAAAATAAGCCATCATTTATGTAAATGCTACTCCGAATCCATGAAGAGAAGGAGGTAATACCATGAATCAAGTTCAAAGACATGAGTGTAGGGTGATCTCAAATCCTCTGGGCGGTTACGCACTGCAGCAGTGAACTTACTCTGCTGGCTTCGTCAGCATCCTCTTCATTGATGGAGCTGGAAGGGGAGGGTGTTGCCGACTTGCTCGCTGGAGGTGATGGCGAAGTGTGGGGCATGCTGGCACCTCCCAAATTCAACCCCAGCTGGGCACTGAGCTGAGACTGGTTGATGGTGGTGAGCTGGGCAGAAGGCATGACCCCAGAGCGAGCGGCATCGGTCATGTGGACGATGGATCTCATGATCAAAGACGGATCCTGACGGTACTGTGACACCTGTGTGTGGCTCTGATCCTAAAAAGGCAACAGAGGGGGAGACACTCTTAATTTCCCCAAATATCAATGGACTTATGGGGAGTAGGGTAGGGTGGGTGAAATGGGTGAAGCGTGTCCAATGGCACCACCTCCCAGTGATAAAATAACTAACTCGTAGGGATGTAACGCACAGCGTGGTGACTGCAGTTACTAATACTGTACTGCATATCTGAGAGCTGCTAAGAGAGGAGATCTTAAAAGTCCTCATCACAGAAAAAAGTTCTTTTCTAACTCTGTATGGCGACAGACAGTAACTTGACTTATTGTGGTGATCATTGCATAATATATTCAAACACCAAATCATTACATCGTACACCTGAACCTAATATAACGTCATATGCCAATTATATTTCAACTAAAAAAAAAAAATCAATAAAATTAGAATGTTAACAGTTCCTTAGACAGGTGTGATCTGTTGCAATTGTGATAGGTCTGACCTATTCCGGGATGATGGTCTCTAGTAAACTATAAAGACTCATGTCAAAAAGATGAAACGTCAAAAGCACGAGGCCCAAATTATCCAGCCTTGTCTATTTCCTGATAGAACTGTCACTGGATGACTTAAAGATAAAAGCCTTCTACTGGGTATTTACCCCAAGGGTTTGAAAACCTACATCCAAAAAGATATTTGCACACCAATGTTCAAAGAGGCATTATTCATGGTGGCCAGGACATGGAAGCAACCAAAGTGTCCTACGATAGATGATTGGCTAAAGAAGCTGTGGTACATATATACGATGGAATATGACTCAGACATAAGAAGAGATGCAATACTGCCATTTGTGACAACATGGATGGACCTTGAGAGATAATCATGCTAAACGAAATAAGCCAGACAGAAAAAGTTGAAAACCACTGATATCACTTATATGGGGGATATAAACCTAAAAGCAACAAACGAACAGATCAAACAAACAGAGACTCATGGACACAGACAACAGACTAGTGGTTACCAGAGGGCAGTGAGGAGGAGGGAGGGAGAGGTAGACGGGGTAAAAGGGGTTAAATATGTGGTTGACAGAAAGAAATCTAAATATGGGCGGTGAACACACAATGCAATACATATACCTATGCCTTATTGCTAAATTGTACATCTGAAACTTACTGGATTTCCTTAACCAATGTCACCATAATAAAAAATAATAATAAGTAGGAGACTAGTAGGAAAGAAGAGATAAACTTCCAGCTCTTGCTTCTTAATGAGGAAACGGATGACAGAGAAAGGGTTGAAGCAAAGGCCCAGCCCTTCCAAGCCCACCTACCAACTGGCTCACCATCCTTCCCCCACACAGAGCTCCGGTTCCAATACCTTTCGCCCAGCTCTGGGACAGAGGGAGAATCGGGTCTCTATTTTATTGTTCCTGGGAATGCATGTGACCTGTACAGAGGATGGGCCGGACGGCACAGAGCAAACATCTGTCTGCCTCGGGGCACGCTTCCTGCAGAACCCTCCCGTTAACCGGAGGGTCGGTCCCGTTCTGAATGACCATGTCAGTGGCATCTGGAAGTCATTCAAAGTCTTTGGGATCGGATGTAGCCTTTTTCCATCTTAAACCTGCTTTGTTTTCTCTTGTTCAACACACGGTGATTTAATGTACTAATGGGTGTTTTAAAATATGGCTAAAGAGGAGGTAGAGATAATCAGAATTTAAAAACGTCTCTGAAAGCTGCTGCCGTCACTTCAGAAATAGCCTTCTGTTTGGGGCCATCATATAAAAGGCTTTAATTCCTTTTTTTAATTCCAAAGAATCAAAAAGTGAAGACATGCTTTTCAAACGACTTACTTTAAGACGTGTCATTTAACCTGAGTCTGATTTTATCGAAACCAAATTCTCTTGACTCACAGTGACCCAGAATCTAATTTTATACACAAGCCTATGAATTCTCAACTGTTCCACTTTTGAGTCTTTCTGATAAGGCTTATTTTTGCTCTTTATAAGAAACAAATGAATTATAAATAACTAAATTGGAACACTTAGTTTCATCATATTAAGTATACAAATGCCACCAAATAAGACGCCATAGCTATCAATAGGAAACCAGGTGAATAAACTATGATCTAGCAAACTACGAAGAATTATGAAGCTTTTTTAAAATAATGAATTTGATTTATGGCATTGACCTAGAGCAGGGTTTCTCAATCTTGGGTCTGTCAACATTTTGGACCACATAAGTCTTTGTCGT